CGCTTTAGGGTTGGTGTACCATTTTAATATAATTATACATACAAGGTTATTGTTTTTATATTTATACAAACATTGTGTGTGTAGGCTAAGTTCCAATGGGAACCTGAGCTGGATGACACGGTTCATGATTTATAGACCAAAGCCATGCACAACAGGTACTCTGACTGGATGAGCTCTGCACGTGATTGGGCCGTGGCACAGGCCTATCCTGGTGATCAACAATGGGATGGTGAGGACTTCTCACGGATTAGATTACACCATCCCGTATGGATACCAGACAGGTATTGGCTACAGATGATTGACACAGTATGCATCTTTATTGTGAGTTTTTCGAACTGCCATGTGTACCGCCTTTCGCCTTATATATGTGCTCTGTTTTTAACAGGTCTGGGATACCGAGKCTTGGAAAAGGAAATCCAAGATCAATCGGGCCAATCGGAACACCGAGTTTGAGGGGGTGTCGTCCAGACACACTAGGGGATCGATTAGTATGACACAACATCAAGACAGGATGGTGAGTATCTAATCTTTTTTGAAAATGTAATTCGTTCTTTATGTTAGTAACAACTTAACCTAATTGTCTAATGTAGGCACAAGTAATGGGTCGTAAGCCTACTGTTACTGAGGTGTTTGAGCGCACTCACTGCACGAACCGGAAGTTCGATCAAGGTTCGTCCGAACCGCCTACCGATCCTCCTCAGTTCAGTTACCCGAAAGCTGCTAGGTATCATGTAAGTTTTCTAAAACCATTACTTTGGTTAATAGATACGTTTGGTAGGTTTAAGGTAATATATTTCAATAAACCTAGTGATGCTATTAGTTTGGGCTGCCATTGTTGGGCAGACGTTAGGCTAAGTAAGKAGGTTGAGAATACGACTTCAAACATTGGTATTATTAGAATGCTTAGTTGTTAAATACATGCATTGGTTATGTTTGATTTACAGTCGTTATGCTGCTGAAATATCTACATACATAACCTCACCCGTTTTTGTTTTGGTGAACCATAGGAGTGATTTCAATCGCTTAGGGGTAAGTCACAATCTAGTACCGACAGCCCTCTCCCTGATGAGGCATCTCTTTGGGAGCAAAGTGTCGGAGGACGGAGGAAAGGCCGAATATTTGGTTTCGGGACCACCCAGGACCCCTCTTATGCTATGACGGATAGATGTAACAGTAGCGGGTCATCATACGAGTCAAGAGCGGAGGTACGTTGGTTATATTGTTATAAACTTTCTCTTTACTAAAATTGCGAACAAATTACTGATTTCGAAGAATATTGAATATTTACAGGTAACGGAGTTGAGAGATAAGTTGTCAAGGGTAGAAGAGGAACTCGAGACCGAACGGAAGAATAGGGCAGATTTGGAGGCCAGACAAGCTGCCTCGGCAGCTGAACAGGCCAGACAAGTTGCTGCATTAGCCCAACAGACTGCTGCATTAGCC